TAGGAGTCAGGAACCTGAGTTCAAAGCTCATCTCTGCCATCTGTGTGACCCTAAGCCAGTCATTTACTTTCTCTGGCCTCAGTTTCCTGATTGGTAAAATGAGGTTAGATGAGATAAATTCTAAAGTCTCTCTCAGTTCTCACAGTCTATGATTCAGTTTCCATGAGAAAGATTTTAGCTGAAATAAAAAAAAAAGACCCTCTAACAATTACAGACATTCCAAATTAGAATGGGCTACCGTTTGAGGTAGTGTGCTCCCCATCCCTGAAAGTATTTGAGTAGAAGCTGTGTGGCTCCTTCTCCTCGGGGATGTTGTGAAGGAGCTTCCTTCTTAAGGTAGTCAGGGTGGTGAAGTAGAATCAGAGGTCTGGGGTTAGAATTCCAGCTCTGGCATTTACCGACTCTGATGAAAGGGAATGCACTATCCCTTTCTGGGTCTCAGTCTCCTTATCTTTAAAATGAAGTTGGTTAGGAGCTGCTGTGGGAGAATGGAAAGAGACCTGGGTTGGAATCACAGCTCTTCTACTACCTGTGTGGCTCTGGATAAGTCCCTGAACTTTTCTGTCCCTTGGTTTTCTCATCTGTAAAGTGAGGGAGTGTTACTAGATGACCTCAGAAGTCCCTTTCAGCTAGTTACCTGTGGCATTAAGAAACTTGCACTTTTCTCTCCTTTGCAGAAGTAGGGGATGACAGGTGTGGAATTAGCCAACTTGGTTGGTCAGTTGGTCAGATTTGCTGAGTTGCTTTTTTGTTTTCTTCTTTTTCCTTTCTGAGATTTCATTATAAGGGATTGCTAGCTGGGCAGAAAAGCGAGAGGATGTATTTGGAAATACATGTGACAGAAAATGAAATCTATTGATCAAATGAAAAAAAATTAAAAACAAATACAAAATAAAATAGAGAAGAGTCAGAAATACCTGTGTTTGAATCCCACCTCACACATTTACTAGCTGTATGACCATGGACAAGAAATTTAGTTTCTCTGTGCCTCAGTTTTCTCATCTATAAAGTGGGGATAATATAACGCTTCTCTCACAGGACTCTTGTGAGAATCACGAGTTAACATTATGTAAAGAGCTTCAGAAACCTTCAAGAGCTATAGTGAGATGCTAGCCATTAAATAAAAGGGCTGAACTAGGTGACTGTTAAGGTCTTCACTCTTAATATATGATCTTACATCTTTTTTAACTCGAGATTTAACTCAAGTTAACTTGAGATTTTTTAACTTGAGATCCTGTGAGCCCCCTTCCACCTGACAGTCGATGATGTCAAGATTCTAACATTCTATTATTTCAGGGATTCTATTGTAAGATTCTAAGATTCTATTATTTCAGCAGCCTATGAGGGAGAATCACTCTAGGAAAGAAAAGCTTGTTGACTTGAAATGGGTGTGTCCTTCCAGCCAGCTATGACATTATTGCACTTTCCACAGAACCTGTTTGCTTTGGCTTGGTTTTAAGCTCCCTTCCCTCTTTCTGAAGATATGTGTGTGTGTGTGTGTATGTATATAATATGTATTTATAGTATGCATATATGCACGTATATGTATGTATATACACGCACATATATACACATACATACACACGTATACATAAGTATATGTATACACATATACACATACATATATGCATGTATTGTTATATAGATGTTATATATTTACATGTATAATTTCATATGTATATGTATACACATGTATATGTGCAATGCATATCTGTGTGCATACATGTGTGCATGCATATATATGCATATACATATGCATATACATATGCATATACATATGTATATATGTATTATTATATATGTTCTATATATTTATAGGTATCATTTATATATGTGTGTATATAGCTATATCTACTTATACATATGTGTGTATATATATATGTATTTGTGTGTGTGTGTGTGTGTGTGTGTGTGTGTGTGTGTGTGTGTATACTCAGCTTTGGGCATTTGGCCTATGTTGGATGCTGGATGTATTTAGAGTTTGTCTTTGAAATTTGTCAGGGAAAAGTGGGAGGCTGCAGGGAAGGGTGAACAGCTCCGCGTGATCCCTTTAGGTGGAGGGCGGAAGGGGGATGATGCTTGGGAAGGGGGCCATAACTCACTTTCACACTCTAGCCCGAGTCCATGGGCCAGACTTTTAATCAGTTCTTAGCATCAGACCAGGTCAAGAGGAGGACAAAACCACAAGAGAAGGGAAGGCAGTGGGGGAGGAGTAGGAGCTCCCTGCAGGGAGTTTGGGCAGACAGGCAGACCTGCCAGGGAACGTGGAGTCTGGGCAGGATGCGGCTGGGCCAAATAGGAGGGTTTTCCTTTCCCTGCCTGTTGCAGAGCAGCTGTCTGGGATGGGAGAATTGATTTGGCCAGAGCTGTGCTCGTGCTGGTTATCTGATTACCTGGCAGGCCTGGGGTCTGGCAAGGAGGCCCCAGCTGAAGGCTACCTTCTCTGAAGTTCTGTGAGTTCTTTCTTTGTCTTTCTCTCTGAAAGTCTGGTCTTTGTGGACTAGAAGGGGAGGAGAGGGCTTGACTTCAGGGTGGTCTTTTCCAGTTCTAACAGTATATGTTCTACAATCTCTTCCAACTCAGACATTCTATATTCTATAGGGCCTTGTAGCCCTGGGTATTTTGGGTTCTAAGAGTCTTTACAGCCTTGATAATTTACATTCCAAAGTCCCTCCCATCTCTGACATTCTGTGTTCTAAGGGTGCTCCCAGCTCTGACATTCTGTGTCCTAAGAGCCCTCCCAGCTCTGACATTCTGTGTTCTAAGGGCCCTCCCAGCTCTGACATTCTGTGCTCTAAGGGCCCTCTCAGCTCTGACATTCTGTGCTCCAAGGGCCCTCTCAGCTCTGACATTCTGTGCTCTAAGGGCCCTCCCCAATCAGACATGCTATGTTCTAAGGTCCCTCCCAAATCAGATGTTCTATGTTCTAAGGTTCTTCACAACTAACATTCTCTAACATCCTTTATCCATAAGATCAGGGAGATGCCTGACAACATGTCTAGTTTAATCTGCGTCAGTCAATCAGTCAGCTAACAAGCATTTATCAAGCACCTGTTACATACCAGGAATTCTGTTAAATACTGGGAATACAAAGACAAAAATCAAAACAAAGCAAAACAAAAATTCCATAATCCCTGTCCTCAAGGAGCTCACCTTCTACTAGGGCAGACAACATATACTAAGTACATACAAGATATACACAAAGAAAGAAGAAAGTAATATCAGGGGGAAGGCTCTAGAAGATGCTTCTTGGAAGAAAGAAGAAATCCTGGAGGTGGACGTGGAAAGGCATGACATTCCAATCATAGGGGAACAAACCAGGGGAGTGACCTAGGTAAGGAACAGAAAGGGGACCAGTATAATAGGACTGAGAATCTGTGGAGGAAGATAATACATAAGAAGACCAGAAAAGTAGGAAGGGGCCCAGTTGGGAAAAGGGCTTTCAATGAGCACGTCTGATCCCAGAGGTAATGGGGAGCCTCTGCAGCTTATTTGAAAGGGGTTGCCTTCCCCTTAGGAAAGTCACTTTGGCAGCTGAGTGGAGGACGGATTAAAGAAAGGACAGCCATGAGTCAGGGACATCAATTAGGAGGCTACTACTATAGTCCAGGGAAGAAGTGATGAGGCCTCGGGCTGTGGTTGAGACCATAGGAGTGGAGAGAAGGGGCTGATTACAGCAGATGTCAGGGACTGAAGGAAGACAGATTGGCAACGTGGGGTGAGTGTGAGCAAGGAGTCAAGGATGACACTTAGATTGGGAGCCTGGGTGACTGGGAGGATGGTGACACCCTGGAGAGTAATAGGAAAACTGGTAGGAGGAAAGGATTTGAGAGGAAAGATAATGAAGTTTTGTTTTGGAATATGCTGAGTCTGCGGTCTCTATGAGACATCTCATTCAAGCTGTCCAAAAGGCAATTCATGATGCTGGTCTGGATATCAGGAAGTAGTTTGGGGTTAGATAGATCAGGGAATCATCTGCATAGAGGTGATCATTGAACTCTGGGAGCCAATGAGTGAAAAAAGAAAAGAGTCTAGGAAAACATTGGAGAAGGAGTGGTCAGACAAGTGAGAGGAGAAGTAGGGAAAGCAGTGTCATAAAGACTTATAAAGAAGGGAATCCAGAGGGAGAGGGTAATTGACAGCAATAAAGGCTGTAGAGAGGTCCAGAAAGATGAGGACTGAGAAAGAACTATTAAATTTGGCAATTAAGAGATCATAGGCAATCTTGGAGAAATTAGTTTCATTTGAAAGATGAGTTTGAAAGCCAGAATGCAGATAGTTAAGAATCGAGCTAGAGGTGAAGGGATACAAGGATTGGAGATTATGGTAAGGATAAAGGACAGGGTTGTGGGGCCTTCATTTCTTTTTTTTTAAAAAATGATATTTTATTTTCCTATGGTAACACATAAATACAATTTTAACATCATTTTAAAAAAATTTTGAGTTTTACATTTTTTCTCTCCCTCTCTTACCTCCCCCTCACCCCACTCATTGCCTCCTTGAGACAGTAAACAATTTGATTTGGGTTATACATTTTCAATTACACAAAACATACTACCATACTGGTCATGTTGTGAAAGAAGACAGATGATACAAAGGAAAAAAAACACAAAAAAATACAGAAAGTGAAAAATAGTACACTTTAATCTACATTCAGATTGATTAATCTACATTCAATTTGATCAGATAAAGGAACTTCGTAGTTCCTGAGCTATGAACCCCTAGGCATGCCCTTTTCAGCAACTCCAGTTTCAGCCTGGAGATCCCCCACTGAGGAAAGACCATGTATTTTCCCTCAGATATCCTGTATTTCTTCATGAGTCCATATTCTTTTTTCTCTTATTTTATTTTTTCTTAATTACATGTATACTTTTTAAACTTTTTTTTCTTTTGACTCACCATTTTCTTCATTTGTACAAAATAGTGAATAGAATAATCATACCCTGACTGGGAAAAAACAGTAGTTTATGCTTTAAACAAGTCCTTCTGTCCTGAAACATCTATTTTGAAGGCTTGGGACTAGCTTTAGCCCCAGCATCTTTGGGTTTGGACTTGGCAGGCTTGGGCTCAGCAGGCTTAGCAGCCTTGGAATCACTGGGCTTTGGGGCCTTAGAATCAGACTTGGCTGGCTTGGTGTCAGATTTGCTGGCTTTGGGGCCAGATTTGGTGGTCTTGGGATCAGACTTGATGACCGTGGCAAGAGACTTGGCAGCCTTGGGGTCAGTGGACTGGGCAGCCTTGGGGTCAGTGGACTTGGCAGCCTTGGGGTCAGTGAGCTGGGCAGCCTTGGGGTCAGTGGGCTGGGCAGCCTTGGGGTCAGTGGACTGGGCAGCCTTGGGGTCAGTGG